GCTTTGATGATTTTTAAAGGAATTAATTGATCCAATACTTTTATAATCATTTTCCAGATTATTCTATAGGATTTTACAGCAAATGTCTGGGCCTCATGTAAAGAGACTAGCAGAATTATTTCAAAGTGATTCTGTGTCAACAGGTCACATGACTTGGAAGCTATTGAAGAAAACATTATATTATTTAATACTAAAATTATAAAAAATATTTTCTATGACTTTAAAATTTAATAGATGGTATTTTGTCTCATGTAAAAGCACGAATTAGCACTGACAATTAGTTAGTTGGTTACAATTCAAGGCATTTATTAGCATTTGTTTGACAGGAGTGTTTGGTTCGGTAATTTGTTGACAGTAAGTGAACCTTCGGGCGCTTGGGCCGGGAGCGGTGGAGAACCGCTGGCCAACATTAGCGTTCATAAATCGGATCAACCTTGAGCTAAAYGCCACGTACTCCGCGGAACTCGAATATCGAATATCCAACTTGAAACTAACTTCACTGTGGTGCAGCCAGCTCACTTTGTCAAACCAGGACAGCTGAAAAGACCTGTTACTTTTCCCCACCTTTTTCACCAAATTAATCTGAGGAGTTGATCAGCCCTGCTGTTTAACTCTAAGTTTTTCTTTGTAAACAAGACTGTATCAAATGGCTTCKCCAAAATCCGGTCCACAACATTCAGACTCTCTGCCATTATGTGCAGCTTGTTACTGGTGTGAGGCTAGAGTGAAGTGTGTCCGTCTGTGAGTGTTTTATGACGGTGGAGGGGCTCAGCAGCACCCGCTGGACAGAAACTGTGATAGAAGTCAGAAAGAGTGATAGAAGTCTGTCTCCAAACACAAGCAGATACAGAAATAACACCAGAAATAGAAGCTCGATTTGTCACTAGTCGTTTTTAACAAAGAAAATGCAGCTAAAAGGATTAATAAAGTCTCCGATTCAACTCCGAACAGAAACAAAAGTAAAAATGCTCCCACTGAATGTTTACACCAAGAAGATCGCTGATTCGTTCATTTTGCTGTCAATCAAAAAGAGATTCAGCCTCCGACAGATCATCCAATCGTCATGCAGACAGCCAGCGTYCGACCCAGCCCCCTGCCCCATAGACCCCCAGAGACGCTCAGCGTCCGATGGGCGGGACAAAGCCAGCATTTATCCAATTCTTGTCTCGTTTTACTGCAGTCTTTGCATCACTAATGAGCTCTGTGGACGCTCAACGTCCGACTGTTTAAAGCTCTGTTGCATCACTAATGAGCTCTGTGGACGCTCAACGTCCGACTGTTTAAAGCTCTGTGAAGCTGTGGG